TGTGGCTGGCGCCTTAGCCACGTGAGCCACAGGCGCTGAGCCTATGAGACCCCATCTCAAATGATTCATCGATGAGACAAGTACTTAGGAGAAAGAAAGTAGCTTTTGGGTGATCCTGGCCTTGGTCACAAGGTATGACCCTCCCCACCACACACACACACACACACACACACACAGCCTGGGATGGTGGAAGGACATGCAGATCAGCCTGGAAACCCATCCCTGCTGGAGAGACTCCAAGAGCCTCAGACCTGAAGTGCTTCCAGGATAGCTGGTTGCAGATCCTCAATTTAACCCACGAGGAAACCTGGGAAATGGCTGTCATGGAAGGAGAAAAGGAAAAGATTCACTCAAGGTCACAGAACCTGTCAATGATAGCTGCAGCTCTAAACCAAGGTCCTCCTAATCCTGGCCCTGTGTTCTTGCCCAGTGACAAGTAACAGCCTATCAAGAGTGGTGCTAAGTTTCTAAAAACAGCTCAGATTCCAGCTGCCTCTCCTGTGCTTCCCACCCGGTTCAGACCTGGCCATGTGCACTTGGATGCAGCCACAGCCAGCTCTAGCCCAAGTCTAGGTCCTGGTGGACATCCAAAACGAGAACTGCAGGGGTCTGGGTCCACAGCATCCTTGGGAATCTAGAGAACCTCCCCCATCCTAAGACTTAAGTCAGACTTGATGTCTCACTCCTCCCTACACACACCCCGCCCAGACCTCTCCACCTTTCTCCCTCCTTCCCAATGCCTATTCTCCTCTCCTCAGGTCCCCACCACAACCAACCCCTATCCCACTCCCCTTCAGCCAAGCCTGCCAGCCATCCAGCCATCCATCCATCCCGTCCACTCTGGGGAATGCAGCGGCCTCCAGCTCTTTCTTCAACCCATCTCCCCTCAGTCTCTCTCCACCCTATGCATCTATGTCACTGGGCGTCCTCTTCAAAGATACCAGTCAGATCATACTGCGGTCTCGGCTCAGAGATCTCACTAGCTCCCCACACACCACAGGACAACAGCCATTCCTCTTAACCTCAGCTCCCTGGCTCAAGGTGGTACAGTCTCCCAAGGCCCCATCACCCATCCAGCACCTGGTTCACCACTGGCCTCTGTTCAAAACACTCTCATATCCAACCTTTTGTCTCAAATTCTGAAATGTCCACTTTGATAACCTCCAAGAATAGCTACACCTAGCTAGTCCTAGAGGCCAGCTCAAAGGCTACCTCTTTAAGATAGCTATCCAAGATTCCTAGGCAAAGGGCCTTCTCACTTCTATGGGCCTAGTGCACAATACGGTCCGACTGTAGGCCCAGGACACAAGCCTGTGGCCATTCCTATTCACATCCAGGCTTAAATACCCCTTCCTTCCCCAAGTCCCTCTCAGCATGGGGCAACTCCTGGAATACCTCAAGGCCTAAACCAGGGCCTGGTTTAGACAATCTCCAATGACTCTTTGCCAATTTTACTATTACTGTCCCTACCAACCCCAGAAGAGTCAAACTCTCAGGAACACTGGTGGATGGAGGGCAGGACAGTCAGGCCTGGACTGGGGCCCTTCCCTAGCCCTCCTTCCTGCCTCTGGCGGTACTCTCACATTTCTGACCCTAGCCTGGGACTCCATGCATAGACCTTGCAGCCCAGCCCTTACATCCTCCTACAGCCTACAGTAGGAAGGAGGATCCCAGGAAGGATTTCAGGAGCTCTTACAATATCACTGCCCCAAATATAGCCTGATTAGGTTGCTTCCTATGTTTGAAATCCTTTTACCAGAGGCAAAAT